TGAGGTTCCCCTTTGGGTATCTAGAGGGAGGGCAGGGCTGGGCTGGCATCTGGAGCAAGGCATGGCAGGGCCGTAGAGCTGTTGGCTTTGGAGGAGTCTGGGGCTGGGCAGGCAGGAGGGGTGGAGCGGGGGAGAGGCTCGGACAAGACCTTGGATCCTTTTGGCTCTGGTTCTTCTGTGCTGGGAGGCAGATACTGCAGCGAAGGCCCAGGTCCCAGCCCCCAGGGGAACGCAGCCTGCAACTGGCAGCCTTTCCCTGCCCTAGACCTTCCTGGCATCTCTGAGCCCGCCCCTGGCCGTGCCCGATGACCAGCTGACCCGGTGGCACCCCCGCTTCAACGTGGATGAGGTGCCGGATGTGGTGCCGGCCGAGCTGCCGCAGCCTCCGGCAGTGGACAAACTGACCACGGCCCAGGAGGTGCTGACCAAGGCCCGGAGCATGATGTCGCCCAAGGTTCGTGGGCCAGGGAGGCGCTTGGGGTAGGGGTTAATGCTGCTGACTACACCAACCTCAGTCGCTGTCTCGCCCGTCGTGGCAACCAGAAAGCACACGCCTACCCCGGCTTCTGGCTAGCAGGGTGGCAGAAGACGGCAGCTGCCAGAGAGACGAGTTGGGGTGGACCCTGTGCCCTGGGGAGCCAGTGGGACTGGGGCACATTCCCCACCAGAGCTAGAGAGGCTGGTGCTGAGCCAGGAAAGGCCTAAAACTTGGTTGCTGTGGTGTGAGGTGGGTCCACCGCTGCCCTGGGTAAAAGCTGCCTGCAAGGGGCTGCCTGTGACGTGCCTCTTCTGCCTGCAGATGGAAAAGGCCCTCGCCAACCTGGCCTTGAGAACAGCCGAAACCGGTGCCACGGAGCAGGAGGCGCCCAAGGCGGCCGCACCCCTGGCTGGCACCCCCAGTGCCCTGAGAGGGGTGTCCCAGTCCCTGCTAGAGCGGGTGAGTAGCCTGGTGCTGGGCCAGCCAGGGGCTCTGCTCAGGGGCTTGGTGGGTCTGACCCAGCCCCCCGCTTCTTCCCCCAGGTCCGAGCCAAGGAGGCGCAGAAGCTGCAGGCCCTGATGACGCGGGCACCGGAGCGGGAGCAGCGACTGGCCATGCTGGTGCGGCTGCCGGAGATGGCGCGGCTGCTGCGCACCGTGTTCGTGGCAGAGAAGAAGCAGGCGCTGACGGTGGAGGTGGCCTGCGCTCACATGGCTGGCAGCTACCGCACCACACTGGCGCCTGGTGAGGCGGGGAGGGGGTGTTCCCCGACGGCACCTGTGCTTGGTGCCCTAGTCCCAGTCGCGCTGTTCTGCATCCACGTTCCCTCCCTTTCCCAGTGTGCGGGTGCATAGCTGGCCCATGGTCCTTGCTACCTCTGCTTGCTCACGCCATCCCCCTGGCTTCCAGCACATGGAAAGGCTCTGGGTAGCCCAGGCCCCCCGGGGTTAATTGCTGGGTGGAGAAGGGCCTCCAACCCCCCTTTTTTTTTTTTCCACGGGTGTTATCCAAAAGTGGTGACCTGCCCCATGTTGCCTCCCGCGGGTGGTCAGCAAGAGGGGCAGTGGCAGGGGACTCACCTTCCGTCACTCCCGGTTCCCTACAGGTGAGATGGAGAAGCACCTGCGCCTCTTCTCGGAGGTGCTGCCTGACTGGGTCAGCCTCCACCCAATCCGCCAGGACACCTATGTCAAGCTGGACAAGAGCAAGGACCTCAATGTCATCGTGGAGAGACTGAGCAAGCTGATCCAGGAGGAGGAGAGGCTCTGATCCCCGCTGGGCTGGGGTGGATGGGGGTGAGCGGGGTTGGGATTGCAGACCTCGCTTAGTGCAATCCGTGCCAGGAACGTAGCAGGCGCCGTGTGAGCGGGGCCCTGTAGGGAAGCCCCTTGGGGCTGCTGGTGCTCTTGGCTGCTGCAGCGGGAAGGCAGGTAGACGGGCACCTTTGTTTTAACTTGTGCTTTTACCCCAATCCTGCTGGACGCTGCCCCCGCTCGCACAGGAGGGCAGCTGGGTCCTGGCTCTGCCTGGAGCAAGTGAACCAGACGCGTCTCCTTGCAGCTCTGTGCTCCTGGCTCCTCGGAGTAACGGGCTGCACGTGAGTCCAACCCTGCCCTGGGCTGTGACCTGGCCGACTCCTGAGCCGCATGGGCATGAGTCCCCCAGAGGCTTTAACAGCTCAGCTCTGTGGAGGGAGTCTTATTGTCTGTTTCTTCCGTTAATTGAACGCCCTCCAAGGCAGCCAGTGCTTGTTACCGGTGGAGTTTCCTTTTTAAAATCACAGGTGCTTCCGTCACTTTTTATGCATTATTCCGGGTTTGGGAAGGGGTGCATCTACTGCCCTCGCGCTGGCCAGGCGCCTCGGCTGTGTGCATAGTTTTCCATGTGTTCGTATTAAACTTAATTGCTTCCACAAAGGAGCCCTTACCTTGTCCAGGTGCTGGAGGATCCCTTCTCCACGTGGGCACTGGCAGGTCCCTGCAGCTCAGAGCTGTGCCTGGCTGGAGGCGGGGATGCTGGGTTGTTGGCCAGATCCTGGCACGGCTACGTGTGGCTTCTCGTGCAGGCTGCGTGGCTCAGAGTGAGGGGTGGACTCGCTCAACCGGTCCCTGGCATATACAAGCTACTTGGTGTATTTACTCAAATCTAAGATGAGGTCCCCCCACCTGCCCATACAGCTGTGGGAGTGGGAGGCAGCAGGGGGAAGCTACTCAACTCCCCTGCTGCCTGCCCCGCTGCAGATGTGGGGGGGGAAATGAATTTTAATATCTACAAAATTTGATTGTAGACGTGGAGAATTGTAGCACTTCTACATCTATCAGACTTGAATGGGGGTGGGGGCGTTGTCTTAGATGCAGGTGTCGGCAAGCTGGTTTCTACTCGGCAACAAAGTGCTGGCCCCTTCCCACCCAGCAAGCCTGTGTGCTGTTGCCTAAAGCAAACCCGGAGCCTCCTGAACCTGCTCCCCAGATACCTTCAGTGCCAGGGCAGTGGAGTATGGGTCAGTCAGTGCTGGAGCTAGGGTCTGCACTGCCTTTCCCCACTCAGTGCTGCCTGGCCCTGGCTAGCCTGGTAGAAACCTGTGGCCTGGCCTGTCACTGCTGCTCCTGGCAGCTCTGCTTTGGCAGCTGAAGCCTGGGGATGATTTTGACAGCTGCTTTCCATGGGGGTGCTGGGGGGAACCTGAGTCTCTCCTCCTCCTCCTCCACCTCCCAGCTGTGGTCCTGCCCCTCGGTGCTGGCTGCAACTGATAAATAGTCAGTGGACCCAGCTGCTCGGTTCTGATGCTGCATAAGCTTTCAGGGATGTTCAGGCCAGATACTCACTCACATTTACCCTCGTCTGCCTGTGTCCTTTGATCAACACAGCTACAGCCCACACCCCTCCGGCCAGCACCGGCACTTACCCGTGGAGGTGAAATGCAAGGACCTGGCTCTGGGGGTAGCCAGAGGCAGGTCCGAACTCTGCTCAGCAGCAGAGAAGGGAACGGGGTCTATCGTGCTGCGCCTGCTACCGCAGGGGGCCAGGGGCAGGAAACGCAGCGGCAAAACCAAGTTTGTGGAAGGGGCAGAAGCAAACCACTTCCCTCCCCTCTGCAAGGGCTGGATCTTGAGCTATTCTGCAAGCAGAGAGGCATGCATCTCCCAGCAAACTCATAGCTTTGTACCTGAGGTTCAGATAAGCCACAGCTGCCTCTGTCTTGCTGTATTCAATGCCCAGCGTGCATTTGGGCAGGGGAGATTTAATGCCCCCTGAAGGCCAAGGCTTTGAGAGGTGAGCACACATCACCTTCCAGTGAGAGCTTGCGGCAGCGCAGGGCTTGGTAAGCACTGGGGGAGCTCAGAGCTACAAGGAAAGAAAATCTTGGGACAGTGGGCTCAGTCTGGGAGTGCAGGGCACAGTCAGGGTCCGAGGGGTTGGTGTCACCAGCTGCCAGCATCTTGGGCAGGAAAAGCTCGCAAAAAACAAGAACTTTTTCTGCTCGGAGGAGAGCTTGCAGGCGCCTTGGATTTAATAAAAGGGTTGATACTAGTCGCCAATCAACTCTGCCTTCGGTCAACACTGTCGCATGCCCATGCACAAGCTTCGGGGCCCTGGCTCCTGGCTGCCCCTGGGACCATGGAGCCTCTGGCCTAAAAACTACTACTAAATGAGCAAGGCTGTGGCTGCCAGTCACACGGGAACTTGAGCCGTATCCGCATCGAGCTTCCTGCACCGACTGCTCTACTCCAGCAAGTGAAGGATCCCCTTTCCATCCCCACCAGCTTTACGCACCAGTTCTTAAGCGCGGCCTGAGAGTGGAGGGACACCCCTGACCGCTAGGACACGTGGCTGCAGCTGTCACATCATCAACCCTGGCACTGTTTGACCTGATTTCATGGTAAGTCACAGCTGGATTGGGCTGTCATGTGCTTGTATTCCCACTACCCTGAGCTAAAGGGGCTGCAGGGCCCGGCCCAGCACAGGCATTTGGCAGCGAGGGGCCTGGGATAACACTGGCCATTTTGGGCTCAGGCTAAAATGCCTGGGCTCTGCGTGCACCATCACCTGTGCTGCATCTTTTCCTCAAGGGCAGGAGAGAGGGGAAAATATACAGCACCGTGCACAGAGCCTTGGACTACGCAAGAAGGTTGCTCATGGCTTGGAAAAGGAGCAGCAGCTCAGGTGAGGTAGCCTCTGGCTGACGGCGAGGTTTGTTTTATTAGGTCTCAAACAAATAGCTGCCCAAACCAGAGCCACCCATCCTAGCCTTCAAACGAGCACCGAACCTCACCAGCCTCATCACCAGAAGCAAACGTCCCATGACCCAAAACACCAAATGGCTCCAGACAATGCCGGGACAAGACATGTAAAACCTGCCAACACATCACCGCTCGCACAACAACTGCACCTCACAACAGACCCATCGCCATTCCCGCGTCTTACGCCGGCACCTCCAGAAACGTCCTGTATCTCATCCAGGGACAAGAGCTGGGCCCCAGGGTGACCACACACCGGGCATCTGTTGCAGACGAGGATACCCGTGATCAGTGCGGACACATTTCTCACAAGGAAACCACTCTCTCGCTCTCAATCTCTGTTTTAATCCTCAAAGGGAACTTGCAAAAGAGCTTTCACAGATGAGCCTGTGAACTTCGCTTCAACCACCTCCTGGCTACAAAAAATGGTGTGTGCACAGACGGCAGCAGCCCACAAAAAGAAGGGGAGAAGAGCAGGGGTGGCAGGTTCTGTACAGGTTTGTTAAAGCAAGTGAGAGGCCTGGTGCTTTCGTGTGAGGGCAGCAGCTCCCTTCCTGCTTTGGAGGGCAGGAGGGAGAGACGTGCACGACCGCCCATCTGCATGACCTGCCTCCTGCACACACACAGCCTCGCCCAGCAGGACACAGGCCCCAAAGCAGCAGAGCGCACGGGCGCTGGGGACTGCCAGAGGCAACGCCAGGCTCTTCTGTGACCAATAACTCACTGCCTCGCCTCCTCCGAGGAGCCCACGAAACGTCTAAGGATAACACTGGCTGTTATAGTTTCATGGTAGGTCGGGTCAGAAGGGGCCTGAGCAGATTTAATAGAGTTCACAGACGTTTGGGCTGGAAGGGACCTCAGAAGATCATCCAGTCCAGCCCCCTGTCCCAGGGGCAGGAAGTCAGCTGGGGTCATAGGATCCCAGCAAGATAAGCATCCAATTTGCTCTTGAAGGTGTTCAGAGTAGGTGCTTGAACCACCTCCGATGGCAGGCTGTTCCAGACCTTGGGGGCTCGGACAGTAAAGAAATTCTTCCTTATGTCCAGCCTGAAACGGTCT